TTTTTTGTGGTATTGGAGTTTGAACTCAGTGCCTATACCTTGAGCCACTCTGCCAGTCCTTTTTTATGATGGGTTTTTTTCGAGAATGCGTCTTGTGAACTCTGCCCAGGCTGCCTTGGAACCACAATCCTAATCTCTGCCTCCCGAGTAGCTAGGATTGCAGGTGTGAGTCACCAGTGCCTGGCTAGAGCTCAGGTTCTTGAGAAGACAGTTATAGTTACCTTCTTTTTCATATGGAAAAGTTATTTTTATTTTGAGACAGGGTCTTGCTGTGTACCCCTTGCTGGCCTTGAACTCGAGATCTTTGTGCCTTAGCCTCCCAAATACTGGGACTTACAAAGTAACTTTGTACTAGAAAGTTTGGTTTGAAATTAGTTGTAACAATCACAGTGAAAGGCTATTAAGAGTGCAGAAGACAGATTTTACATTGTCAGGAAATCCTTTAAACTTGATTTTAAAAACATGAACTTTATTTAATAGCTAAATAATTTATAACTAGCAAGTTTGCATGTGTTTACTTGCTAATAATGTATTTCTGCTGTTGACCCATTATATTTTTGGTAGTATTAGCGGTTGAATTCAGGCCTTCATGCTTGCTAGGCTGCGTTTTACTACTTGAGCCCCTCCATCAGTCCTGTAGTGGTTTTCTGTATCTTTTCAATTTAAATCTGTGTGGTAGCCAGCTATGGTATTATTAATATCATCCAGCAACATTTTGTGCTTTCTTATTTCTTTAGCTGGGCAGATGCTCAAACTCAAATCCAAAACATTGCTGCATCTTTTGACCAGGAGGCCGCTGCCATTCTTATGGCCCGGCTGGCAATATATAGAGCAGAAACAGAAGAAGGGCCAGATGTGCTTAGATGGCTGGACAGACAGCTCATTCGACTGGTAAGAAGTAAACAGTGTGGTTTTCTAAGACTATGCTTTCATTTGTAGTAAATATATGTATATTTTTTTAGTATATGTGTGCTGAAGTGAGCATTGTAGTAAATATTTTTTATTAGATAATCTCCTTCAAAGTGCTTAACAGCATACCTGAAATACCATATGAGGCACTCCTGTTCAAATTACTGAGATAGTAGCATAGTAACAGTTGTCACCTCCAACAAATTAGAATACATTTTTTTCCTTAAAATGAAAGAATGGCTAATATGTAACCTATTACTTTTCTATTTATTTTGGCTGGTATGAAATTAGCTCAGAATTTAATTCTGTTCTTACTTTGTATATTTCTTCATTGCTGTGGTTTTAGTTTTCTGTTTTCATTCTAATGGAATTTTTAAAATGTATATATCTTTTAAAATAATTAATTGGAGTATAAGCTTATATACATCATTGAAAAGTGTAGTCTTAAGTATCTGATCTCAATTACCAAATGTGTGCTAGTAAAATTATTGGTAACATTGATTTACTTGAATTTTTTTCTAACATGTCAGGAACCCGTTAGTTACATTCTGAACTAGACTTTATTAAGCTCAGTATTTTTTTTTTTTAATTTTCATTTTTGAGTGTTAACAAGGTTTGAACTCAGGGCTTCTTGCTTGCTAGGCAAGTACTCCACCACTTGAGTCATGCCCAAAGACCTTTTTGCTTTAGTTTATTTTTCAGGTAGTGTCAGATGCTTTTTGCTCAGGATCAGCCTCAGACCACAATCCATCTACCTCTGATTCCCCAGTAGCTGGGACCATAGGCATGTACCATCATACCTATATTTAGCTCAGTTTTTTTATTTTTTATTTTTTTTTTTGAGGTACTGGGGTTTGAACTCAGGGTCTACACCTTGAGCCATTCTACCATCCCTATTTTCGTGAAGGGTTTTTCGAGATAAGGTCTTGCAGAACTATTGCCTGGGCTAGCTTTGAACTGTGACCCTCCAAATCCCTGCCTCCTGAATAGCTAGGATTACAGGCAAGAGCCACTAGCATCTGGCTTTAGTTAAGTTTTTAATGTTCCATTTTTACTTAGCAAACTCAGGCTGTTACTTCCTTGAAAGTACTTTTTCATTCACTCTTCAGCTCAAATACCTTGTTGAGAACTGTTAAACTATTAAATGCAAGAGGTAACTAATTATCTTTTAAGCTATCAAACAGGTGGTTCTTTATTTCATGCAATTAAAAAAATAGCTCTAAGGGAACTAGCTTTTATATAGTGATATAAGCCACTTTTGTAATATTATCCAGAACTTTTTTCATTTCATCTCCAAGAATTTATTATTATTTTTACACCAACATCTCTCTGTAGGAAAGCAGTGTTACGATAATATTAGTGTATCTTTTTAAATGAGAGATTCAACCTTTCATAGATCAACCATTGATGGGACACCATCAGTATAAATACTCACACAGATTCTCCAACATGGACTTGTTTCCAGATCAATCATAAAATATATTTTGACCTTGTTTAGAACAAAAGAAAATTTTCTTTTCATAGCAGAAAGGTTTTTGTGGATTTCATACCACTTAAAGTCTGACTTGCCATTAGTGAAACCTATTAAGTCACCAATCTGAATAAAACTATTTTTAGCTTATTACACAAACCCCTTCAGCATTATGTGACATGTTATCAATGCTTTGGCTTATTGTAGTGTTTAGTTTTTAAAATTTTTAATGTTTTTGGTGGTACTGGGGTTTGAACTCAGGGCCTTGCACTTGCTAGGCAGGAGTTTTACCACTTGAGCCATTCTGCCAGCCCTTTTTGGACTGGTTATTTTTGAGACAGTATCTCACTTTATGTACAGGTTGGCCTGCACCACTTTTCTCCTGTTTGTGCTTCCCTGTGTAGCTGGAATGATGGGTGTGTGCCACCATGCCTGGCAGTTGATTGAGATAGGGCCTTGTGAACTTTTTGCCTGGGCTGGTCTGGAACCATGTTCCTCCCAGTCTTTGCTTCCCAAGTAGCTAGGATTACAGGTTTTGAGTCACTGTGCCAGGCAGTTGCACTATTTTAAATGGAACTTTTTGTTGTTGTTTTTTGGTGCTGGCAATTAAACACAAGGTTTTGTGCATGCTGAGCACCTGCTGGACTACTGAGCCCATCCCTCTAAAGTGGAACTTTTTCAATTTCCTAGATTCCATTTTCTCCTGGCATTTTACTTACTGTAACTTTACATGTCTGCATTAGTAGGTTCTTACCAATTATATGGGTTTTCCTTTTCTGGACAGTAAGTTGTACTCTGAAATAGCTTGCTTTTGGAGCCTTTTCACAGAAAATGACTTTGTCTTAACAAATACTTTATTGTTTTGAGTTCTGAAAGCTGTTTGAAGTAATCAGCACTCTCACTTGTCAAGTGACTTCAATTTGTAGTACAGCGCTGTTTCCATTTTGCTGGAGGAATTGCATTTGTAGGTTGTCACATGCCAAAATTGAATAGTACAATCCGAATTGTCTCCATAAATACTATTAAGAACTTTGTTTTAAGATGGAGGGTTTTTTTTTGTGTCTCTTGTTGCATGAAAACAATGAAGTGATTCAAGGATTGTAATTTTTTAGCATTCACAGTGGGCTTAGGCTCTCTTTGCTATATATCACGCCTCAACTTCAATAATTGCCATATTGTTTGACATGTTTGTAAAACACAAATATTAATAAAATATAAAACAGAAGAGCCTAGTAAATAACTAAATGAGAGTTGAAAACAGTACAAAAATTACAAAAATCTTACCATGTAATTCATCTCTCATGTATACGTTCTATATCTTGCAACATTTTACAAGTAGTCTCCATCTTCTGTCACATCAGTAGAGCTTGTCTGTTACCAAACTTCAGATGGTGGTAATGTGAAAGAGGTAGGTCAAGGAGGAGGTAGTTTGGGAGAGAGGGACTGCTGCTTTCAGATTACTGTCCTGCTTTTTATGTAAAACCTCCCACTAGTGCCCAGGGTTGGAGACCAAGCCTTTAATACATGGGCTTTTTTTTTTTTTTTTTTTT